CCCTATTAATATCCTCTTTGTATTTTGATACTAGTAGTAATGTAATGCATGTACTGAATTAGGTTTTCTAAATTTCATTATGATCTCCTCACTGGATCTTAACCTTTTTCGTGGCAGGGCGCAGACTCATCTGAGCGTATCATTGCTCCCATGCGGTGGGGCTTGGTCCCATCTTGGTTTAAAGAAGCTGATCCTTCCAAGCTGCAGTTCAACACTAGCAACTGTCGTAGTGACACCATAATGGAGAAGCGGTCCTTTAAGGTGGGTAGCTTGTCTAGGGAAAAGGCACATATTCGTTACTTTATCTCACAGAACCATTAGTGCCTTATGTACCTGAGAAATAGTTCCAAAGTGTGTTCCCAGTTATTAATGTAGAGTCTTGTTCTGTTTATTACTGTGTGACAAAGCATGCCAAGACAACAGTTTATTATTTCTCATAATAAACCATGGGCTTCCTGGGCTCAACTAGACAGTTTTTACTCAGCCAGAGGTTCTCATGTAGTTCTAATCAGATGACAGCTGGATGTCCCAGGTCACTTCTTAACCCACATGTGTGACACCTCAGCTGGGATGAGTAGAACAACTGCAGGCCTTTCCATGTGCCTGCTAGGGGGTGTCAAGGTGGTCAGGCATCTCACATGGCATCTGGCTTACCCAGAGTTCACCATCCAAGAGAGCAGGGCAGGAGTTGCAGGGCTTTGTGACCTTGCTTGGAAATCATAACAGCGTCACTTCTGCCGCATTCTATTGGTCATACAGAGGCAGCCTGACATCACTGAGGGAGGGGACTACATAGCATGTGAATATTGGTAGGCGTGGTTCTCTGTGGGGCCAGCTTTGGAGACTAGCTACCACAGTGCCTGTTTCTTGCTATGTACATTATTTAATCTTTTCAACATCTGTGTAAGTGTGACTTTATACATAAGAAATGTGACATACAGAGGAATTAACTGCTCAGAGGTCACACATTGGCAGATCTGAGATTTTTAAGTCTGTGAAACGTGTTTCTGTCACTAAGACCATATCTTGCTCATGTTTTCCCTCAGGTGCCTCTGGGAAAGGGGAGGCGCTGTGTTGTTTTAGCAGATGGTTTCTATGAGTGGCAGCGATGTCGGGGAGCAAACAGGACGCAGCCCTACTTCATCTACTTCCCCCAAATCAAAACAGAAAAGGTACCATCAGCTGTGTATCTGTGTCTGTCTGTGTGTGTTTGGTATGGTCTCTGAGCTTCTTGGATTTTTGGTTTGATGTCTTTCCTATTTTTTTGAAATTTCTCAGCCATTATCTATTCAACTATTTCTTCTGCCCCATTTTCTCTTCTCTTTCTGACATTCTAATTATATATGTGTTAGTTTGATATTGTCCCATAGTTTTTGGATGTCCTCTTCTGTATATTTCATTCTTTTTTCTCTGTGTTTCAGTTTGAGTGATTATTGACCTGTTTTTAAGTTCCCTCTTCTTTCTTATTTCACTGAAATTGCTTATCTGCCTGTTCATGCATGTTGTCTACCTTTTCTATAAGAGCTATTATATATACATACGTAATACATAGCTAATATATATATATATAGTAATTACACTTAAATTCCTGTCCGATAGTTCAGCATTTGGGAATTGTAATCTCTTGAGTCTGGTCCTGTTGATTTGTATATATCTTGGCAGTTCATTGGTTATTTTTGGCTTTTTGTATGTCTTATAATTTTTTATTGATTGCCAGACATAGTAGATAGGACAGAGACTGAGATCAATAATATTTATATCTGGAAATGGATATGTTTATTCTTTTTTGTTTGTTTGTTTTGGCTGTATTGAGTCTTTGTTGCTGCGCGCGGGCTTTCTCTAGTTGTGGCGAGTGGGGGCTACTCTTCCTTGCGGTGCGTGGGCTTCTCATTGTGGTGGCTTCTCTTGTTGCGGAGCATGGGCTCTAGGCGCGTGGGCTTCAGTAGTTGTGGCTCAGTAGTTGTGGTGCACGGGCTTAGTTGGTCTGCTGTATGTGGGATCTTCCCAGACCAGGGATCGAACCCATGTTGCCTGCAATGTCAGGCGGATTGTTAAACTGCGCCCTCAGAGAAGTCCCTGTTTATTCTTTTATTAGGCCATTAATGTCCCAGGTTGAGTTGATCTTGTCCGGAGCTGAACTGGGTTTGGTTTTGTTGTGCGTCACAGGCTTTAAATATTTCTCTGCTGTCACCTTGTGTTCAGGTTAAGGGTTGGTTTTCCAGAGGGTTTTTCACAATAGCCCTGCTCCCTGCAGCTCTTGTTAGTTCCCTTTGAGCCTTGTGCCTTTGAGAGGATCTCTCCGTTCTCTTGCCCCTCCCCCAGAAGTAGACTGCTGTTGCTTGTCATCTGGTGTACAGGGAGGTGGAGAGAGCTCTCCATGGCCTTGGTTCAGTCTCAGGCTGAAGCAGAACTGTGTCCCCGGCTCTCAGGCTCAGACTTTCTCAGTGATCCTGCTTCTCCAGGGGCACAGAGGGTTTTTTCTTTTGCCCTTTTCCAGCCTCAGGGGGTCTTTACCTGTATCTTAGGAGCAATAGGATTTATCACTTTTACCCTGGCCCCTTAAGCTTTTTGTTCCTTAGAGGAGAAGTGACCAGCTAAGGCTTCTCACCATCCCTGAGGCAAAAGAGCTCCCCTTGTCTGGCACGCATTGGCAAGGAAGCTTTCTCCAGTCTCCTGCCCCCAGTCTCTCTCGTGAGCACCTGCGGAGGGTGGTCTGCAAGCTGAGGCAAACTTCCCTGGTGTCTGCAGCCCCCAGGGGTTCTGTGCCCTCAGGCTAGCCCACACTCTGCATCGAGCAATTTGTTAATTTTATCTGAATTATTACCTGCTGTATGAAGGAGGCCTTGTTTTCCTTCTGTTACCACTGGGAAGCCAGTACTGGTGTCTCATCTCCTCTTGGATGACCCTGTCTTTCCATAAAGTTCAGGCTAATTGGTTGCCCTGTGACCTCAGTTCTCTGATGAGTTTAAGTTACGGTTATTTAGATTCTCTACCTTTTTTTTTTTTTTTTTTTGCGGTACGTGGGCCTCTCACTGTTGTGGCCTCTCCCTTTGCGGAGCACAGGCTCCGGACGCGCAGGCTCAGCGGCCATGGCTCACGGGCCCAGCCGCTCCGCGGCATGTGGGATCCTCCCGGACCGGGGCACGAACCCGTGTCCCTTGCATCAGCAGGCGGACTCTCAACCACTGTGCCACCAGGGAAGCCCTCTACCTTTTTTTTTGTTAGGGTGGAGGTGACACTTTCCAGCTTTCTGTATTCTAGGCCTTGAACTGAATCTTAAATGGCAAGTAGGAGTTGGCATGATGAAAAAGGGAAGGAAAGACCTTTGGGGCAGAGGAAAGTTGCTTCTGCGAGATACAGGGGCATGAAATTGCATGAGAGCATCATTTAGAAATAGCTGGGCTTAATTCAAGTTAACATTGTAATTGAAAGCCAGAATCATGATCCAGATCACGGAAGGCTGTAATATCCACTGAAGGTGTTAAACTGTATTGTGAAAGCATTAAGGAGCCATAAATCTATTGCTTCAGTGAGTATCTGCCACCAAGCCTCTTTCCTTCCGCAACAGTGGATCAAGAGGACCCATGCTAAAGGCATGGGCTGAATTACTTCTAAAATGATTGCCGTGCTCTCAAGACTGTAATAGTACCCAACCTGCAGGGGGGAAGGCGGCTGCTGAGTATCTAATCTACCATGGATTTTGCTTCCAGTCAGAGAGCATGGGTGCTGCAGATGGCCCTGAGGACTGGGAGAAAGTCTGGGACAACTGGAGGCCGCTGACAATGGCCGGGCTCTTTGACTGCTGGGAGCCCCCGGCGGGAGGAGACTGCCTGTATTCTTACACCATCATCACAGTGGATTCCTGCAAAGGCTTGAATGACATCCACCACCGGCAAGTCACACTTCTCATGCCTGGGTCCAAAAGGATTCAGGGCAGGGTTTGTCCTCTTTGCTTTTAGATAGGCAGCTTCTGTACGCACAGATTTAGAGAGTAGGAAACTAAGACAGTTGCTTCACAAAATACAGTCAGTTTGGCTGTAACATGACATGCATTCCTAAAAATCACCACACTATGCAAAATTGCACTGTGAGAACCATAGGACTTACGGGAAATGTGGGACTAAGGGGACAACACTTAAAAATTTTGTCAGTGACACAGTAAAGCAAAAAGAAAATAGGAATCTAGTAAAAACAGTACTATCGTTCCATGCATTAAGTGGTTAAGAAGTACATAGATATTACAATAAATATGGCACTTTACCTTAGAAAGACCTGAAACTGACTTGTGGAAGTGAGTGTCGGAAGAGTTGCAGCTTGTGTTGTTGTGCAGTGGTAGAAGGAAGATTCTGCAAAATTATCATCTTTTGCAGTCTTAAATCCTGGGGCATGTTCTTCTGCCTTTGAAATGTTGTTCCTTCGAGGTGTGCCTTTATAACAGATACGTATTCAATCAGAACTGAACATTTTGGTGCAATGTATGGCCTCCTCCAATTAACTTCCATATCACTGGTGGAAATTCCTTAGCAGCATCTTCATCTGTGCTCGTGTCTTCTCCCAACAGCTGAGAGCTCTGGAAATTGCAGCAGTGTTTGAGGCCACCAAAACAGCCATTACTAGCGCTAAGAGGAGCCACCTCTGTGGTGGTTTTGTGGTCTTTGTGTATAGAGAGGGCATTCTCTTTGTGAGAAAGCTTCCAGTTTTTTAGTTTTTTTACTGTCCGGCTTTCAGTCCATATACTAAATCTTTCCATTGCTTCTATTCCTTCAGACCTGGCTGGTATTGACTTTATAACACTTCTTGCAATTGTTCCAGCCGTGGATGTGCCTTTTTTCCCAGCCCTGTTACTGTTGTGGATCCTTTATGTCTGTTGCTCAGGAGATATCACATGTTCTCTTCTTGCTTTCAAGACGCTTTATTATTATTTCAAGCTTCTCGTCAAGACTTACAAGTTTTCTGTTTGCATGCACTGCTTAGCGTGTTTGAGCTAGGAAGCTTAGACATGTTTCAGATGTTGAATGAATAGTTTTTTTAATATAGAGAAAAGTTTACAAATGCGAAGTAAGAGCAGAACACAACTTGGGAGGATAATATGCAGTGGGCCGAGGTAGCCATCAGTGTTTGAGCTGCGTGTATTTTGTGCGCAACTCTGACAAGGCTCAGCTCAGCAGGGTGCAGTTTTCTGTGTTCACTTTGTGTTTCTCACAGACAAAACCGTATGTCAGCAAAGGCAACATTTGCATTATGTTCTAAAAAAATAATAGATCAATCACATTGGAACAGATTTTCATTTTAAAAACAAGCATTACGGGACCTCGCTGGTGGTCCAGTGGCTAAGACTCTGTGCTCCCAATGCAGGGGGCCTGGGTTCGATACCTGGTCAGGGAACTAGGTCCCACATGCATGCCGCAGCTAAGAGTTCACATGCTGCAGCGAAGATCCCGCACAAGGCAACAAAGATCCCGTGTGCTGCAACTAAGACCCAACGCAGCCAAATAAATAAATAAATAAATATTTTAAAAGATATTTAATAAAGTAAAAAACGTTAGCAGAATTGACTAGTGTAACATTTTCACAGTTTTTGCCGGATCTGAGTGTCCTCAGAAGTAATTTTATGATCTTTTGCTGAAAAGAATGCAGTGCTGCACATACTGGATTACCTGTTTTAGCCTTCTTGTCCTAAGCGTTCTGTCTGAAATGATGCTTTCATGGGATATAATAGTTCTAGTTTTTGCTAATTCACCTTAAAATAAATTCCTATTTCATCTAATCTAAGATTTTGTACCACTATTTTATACATTGTTAAGAAAAATAAAGTGCTGCCAATTGTTGCCAATTAAGCTGTGATATAGTGCAGAGATGCCATTCATCATAAAATGCATCTGGATTTAAAAGATCTTAAAATACCCTTTTAAAAAAAATATTTATTGATTTATTTAAATTTATTTGGTTGCCCCAGGTCTTAGTTGTGGCAGGCAGGCTCCTTAGTTGCAGCATGTGGGCTCCTTAGTTGTAGCATGCAAACTCTCAGTTGCGGCATGTGTGTGAGATCTAGTTCCCTGACCAGGGATGGAACCTGGGTCCCCTGCATTGGGAGCTTGGAGTCCCAACCACTGCACCACCAGGGAAGTCCCTTAAAATACTTTTTAAAAGTACATGTTTGGAGGAATTCCCTGGCGATCCAGTGGTTAGGACTCTGTGCTTCCACTGCTGAGGGTCCGGATTCGATCTCTGGTCGGGGAACTAAGAATCCCATAAGCCATACAGTGCGGCCAAAAAAATAAATTAAAATAAAATAAAATGTTTGACTTATTGAAGTAATAATAATTATTACAATAGATGTTAACGCATTTATCTCCTGTCTGTACCACCCACCAATGAAGTGTGTACATTCTTTGCATTGGCCTAGAACATAAAATTGGGGGCTAAACAAGGGGTCTTTTCCTAACATCTGCTGGGTACCAGGAGTCATCTGAGGCAGGCTCTTTGCTTTTCTGAGCCATAGTTTCCTTTTGTTCACAATTACGTAAATAGCTCTTTCTTAGATAAATCTTCCATGGGTGATAAGGCTGGAGAGTATTGTTGATAGACAAGTTTTCCAGGGTTTATTTTCCCTTTAAGTCTAGGCTGGAGTGTCGTAAAGGTCACCAGTTTGCTAGCGTGTACACTGGAGTGGATCCACTCATAGCACGGGGCACTGTCTTTGCCATCTGACTCTGTTAAGCTGGGTCTCCTGGTGTTGAGTTTTGTGCCCTGTGGGTGGAGGGGGGTGGGGGGGACACCGGGCAGCAACTGGCACGTGAGGCGCGGAGAGAGGGTGAGCTGCTGCTTGGGGCAGTTTGCGCTTCAGCTGACCGGGCCTTTCTCCCCCCGCCCCCACCCCCACCCACCCACCCC